CTTTGCCCTTAAAAGAAAAAGCCTTTCTTGGCTTTCAGTGCAGCCTCTTGTATCCTAAGGGTACTGGCTATTTACGTGTTTTCAGGTTGTACAATGCAACTTGGAGGGCTGCAGCTGGCAGGGAACAGAATGAATTATTTGAAATGCACAGGTTGGAGAGGGAAGAAGGCAGTTTTCTTAGCTGTCTGCACGTTAATTTTAGACAGAGGTAAAGGAAACAGTCGTCTTATCCCAAACACCTACAATGGCAGTTGGGCTGCGGTATTACTAAATTAGCAAAAGACTTCAGAGACTCTTGAAAACCATGTACAAAAGCACTAGTGAGAAATTAGTGTGGGAAGTAAAGAAATGACTGTGCGAGACAGAAAATGCATCTGAGTAAAGGGACTGACACACATTGTGTTCAACTGGGGGAAAAAAGGAAACAGAAAAATTTTGGTTTTCTCTTCAGATTGATTTTTGCATTCTCACAGGTGATTTGTAATAGTATTACCAAGCAGTCTGTATTTCCTTTTTATTTACTTAGAGTCGAATGAAGTACGAGAAAGTACACAGCATATATAACCGACTCCTGGCTATTGAAGACATTGATCCCACTCTGGTAAGACGATCGTTAGTATTCAGTTTTTCTACATTTGCATGGATAGTCACCCAAGTACACGCAAAGAATGGGGAAGTACTTACAGGAGTTCGTTGGGTCACAAGGATGATTGAATAGGTGGAGTACTGAGATGACAGATTAAAATTTCAGCAGCGTTGATAATTATAGCCTTTAATCCACTTAGGTACACCAAGTCATGTGCACTTTTCTCCTCTCTCTCTTTTGGAAAGTCTCTTAAAACAAGTGATGAAGATATAAGATATTAAAGATTTCATGACACAGCTCATAAGAATTGATTTTTTGGCTCAATTAAATGAATATGTTTTGTTGACTTAATTAAAATTTCAATTTGCCTCCCCTTCACTGATTAAAACATACTGCTTTTGCCCATTGTCCTCTCTACATAGAAATACACCATCCTATGTACATGTAGTTTGCAAATAAATTTGTAATGCACCATATAAGTATCAAGAGAGTATTGCTGTACATGTGCTCAAGTCATGTAGTAAACAATGTTGTCTGTAGTGCCAGCAGTGGTAGTACTGAACAAATGGTGTGAGAAGTAACTTGCCCTCAAAAAGCTACTTAGTTTATAAATAGACATGACAAAGCATGAGAAGGAAAAAGAAGGTCTGAGGTCTAAAATTAAACAACAGGTCAGTGTCAGAGGAAAGGTATCCATTTACTGACACTTTCTAGTCATTAAAGACAGATCATAATACTTCCCAAATACACATTTTTTGCAAAACTATGTACCTGTGCCTTCTATTTGAGGAATGCTGTTACTTGTGATCTAATTCAGAGGGAAGGAAAGTTAAATCCCAAAGAACTGCAAATCAGAAATTGGCCACTGAATTAAATAGCACATTCATTATTTCCTTGGTCGGGTATAAGTATTTGCAGACAGGGTGGTTTGTATCTCGGATTGTATCGTGTACAGTAAAATACTTCATCAGGCCTTTTGACTGTTCTTTGACCTTATGGATGTCGGAACTTTATTGGAAAGTTACCATTTTTACAATAAGCCTTTAATTCTCTGAAGGCACAAGCTTATGTAAATTACATTCATCTACTTATCTCCCTTTCCTTGAAAAATCTGTGTATTAACTATTGTCATTTCAGGGGATCTGTCTTAGGAATATTCCGTTTGGTTTTTCAAAAAGTATATAAAAAACTTTGCCTCAGTATTTATAGCAAAACAACAGAGGCAGAACACAGTCTTGTTTCTGTTATGACTTATTAGCTGTATTTTGTGAGTAAAGATTATTTCAGATATAGCCAAAAACTTTATTATATCCTAGTATTCTTTGTTAGCACTGATACTATATAAATATTAATATGTACCTTAGGTTTATATCCAATATATGAAATTTGCAAGGCGAGCAGAAGGCATAAAATCTGGCAGAATGATATTTAAGAAGGCAAGAGAGGATGCCCGGACTCGCCATCACGTCTATGTTACTGCAGCTTTAATGGAGTATTATTGTAGCAAGGTAATCATAGATGCTCAATTTGCTATTAAAGAAGTGTCAGGAGTGTGCGTAGCTCACTGAAGCTAATAACTTTTTTTTTTTAAATGTTTGCAGGATAAGTCTGTGGCCTTTAAGATTTTTGAGCTAGGGCTGAAAAAATATGGGGACATTCCAGAATATGTACTGGCATATATCGACTACCTTTCTCACCTTAATGGTAAGCTTTAAGCTTTGAGAGGTCTAGTGAAGCATTAATCTGCCTTCTCTGTGAGTTTAGGTACAGGGCAAGTTCTTTGTATTTCAGTTTTAATTCTTCTTGAAGACCAATGACCTCTTCATGAAACTCAGCAATTAATTTGAAAACAAAACCTGCTGTTTTGTCCTTACTGAAGTTCCAGAAATACAGTGACATTAGATCTTGATTCTACTGAATAGAGGAGGGTTAACTTTCCAAACTGTAACTCGCTTGCATGGCAGCAGTTTTACAGCACCTGTCATGACCAGTGGGAAGTACATGGAGAAATGTAAATCCCAAGGAAAAAGATCTATGGGAGGTTGAGGAGTGATGGATTAGTTGGTCCCTACTAGGATTAATTTAAACTCATTCTCCCCAAATAGATGAGATCAGCAAGATATACAAGCAATATTGTGAATATCAGGCCTGCTTGGAAGTTGCCAGGGAGGTGATTTGCAATGCAAAGAGTAGAGCGTGGGCAAGGCACAGAGCTCCCTGCCCGTGGCAGTGCTGGGGGCACAGGGGGCTGGGGAGCCCCGGGCCGGAGGTGGTGGCGGTGGGGGAAGGTCTCCGTGTGGGATCCCCTGATGCAGGAGCTCATAGCGATGTGACAAGAAACACGAGCTGCTGTGGGGAGCGGGGGCTGACAGAGACCTTTGTGTGGGACTGTCCTGGTCCGTGTTTCATGGGGAATTAGAGAAGAGGAAGAAAAAACAGCCCAGGCTCTTCCTCTGCCCAGTCCGGTCTGCCAGCTACCCATTAGATTTTGAGATTTCTTCAGGTATTTCTTCAAATATTCAATACTCCAGCTCAGTATTTGTAGCGTAACAACACAGAGGTGTAACACAGTCTGGGTTTTATTACGAATTGCTAGCTCAATGTTGTGAGCCAGCCTCCATGCCACTGGCGTGAGCTGTGGCTGCAGGTAGCTGTGCTGCGGGATCTTCTGAACCTCCCAGTGCGTTCTGCAGGCACCAGACACATGGATCTCTCCTGTCAGACTACGGTACCCTTTTCTTTTTCTCAGGCTCTGAAAGTTTGAACAGATTTAGAGCTTTTTTTTTTGCTGTGAGCTGTAAACAGAGACATTTTTTCCCAAGTCAAAGTACATTTAATTTTGCAAGAAATTATATTTAGGTCTACGTGAATATTTGCAATGTGTTTCCGTAGATTGCCATCAGAAAAAATGGTCTTAAAACTTGCCGGTGCATTGCTCTGTCTTAGCAACCCAGCAGACTTCACTGAAAAAACAAGAAAACTGATCTCTTAACTCCTGTAAATGTAAGATATGGTAAAATACGCAGCGAGAGAGATAGGGCAGAAGCTAGCAGTTTTAAGAACAAAACCACCAACCACTCCATTCCCCTGACTGGCGATGTACAAAGGATGACTGCTTATTGGGAACCAGGTTTAATGATTTTGGGAGGACATCTGAGGAATATACAAGTATATTAATATTGCTCTAATTTAAAAGGGAAATAATGAATTGAAAGGCCAAATTTAAAATTGCCGAGATATGCCATTGTGGTGATTAAAGAAAACAATAAAAAACCAGAGATCCTGAAGAGGTGCCAAGCAATAACTGTGCTGTTTTAGAAGAACCTGTATTAGGATCGGTTTGTTGCTGTCAACAAAAATAGTCTTTCAAATAACAAACTCACAGTAGAATTTAACATTGGTAAAGTTTTATGTAGGTGTTCAGATCTTTTTTCTACTTACTGAAATTCAAATCCAGGAATCAGAATGTCAGCCTTATATTTAATTCAATGTACACATTTCTTTGAATGGACATGATTTTAAATTGTCTTTAATATATTTTACTCAGTGTGATTTTTTTTTTCTTTTTTTCTTTCTATTTTTAAAGAGGACAATAATACAAGAGTTTTGTTTGAACGTGTTTTAACTTCAGGGAGCCTTCCACCTGAGAAATCTGGGTACGTCTGCAAAAGCAGTTTCACTACACTAAAAAAGATACATAACCCCTTTCAACTACAAACATCCCAAAGAAATTAGAAAAATGAACAGCAGGACAAAATTAGGTACAGATGTTCCTTCCTCTCTTCATGCTGTCTAAAATAGCAACAACTGTGACAGATTTGTGAAAGTCCCTATCCCACTTGCAGTGAAATTCATTAATTTATTGACTTTAAAACCTCATTGACGCAGGACTGTTGAGGATAGAGTGCAAAATCAATCTTCCTGCGCAGTAAGGATTCAGTGGTTTGAGCAGGTGGCGTGGCTAATGGCATGTATCGCTCACCAGGTGGATGCTTTAGATAGATGGGAAGAGGGAGCCAAGAACATCTTTCAGGAGCGTTATGTTAGAGAAGGTGAGTCAGGAATTTATTGAGGAGAATGCTGAACAACTCCCAGCCAACTGAAAGTAAAATAGGAGGAAAGAATCAGAAAACACTTGGATTAACCACTCACCGTCACATTTTCATTACTACTTTTTAAATTTATTTCTCTGAAAAAATGGTTACCAAACCCTTTGCAGTCCACATGTTCACCATTATTGTTCTGGTAGACATAGGCATCAAAACTAAGAAATCAAACCTCGCACTGCTGTGCACATTCATTCTGCACTTTAATTCTCATCTTCTGCAAGAAATATTTTTATGTCCATTTTAAAAGTGAGAAAAACCAAGAATTTAAAAGCCAAATATTCTTCAAAGGGGAACTCCAAAGCTAAAATGAAAGTTGAATCAAGTCCAGAAATACGGTCAGATGTTGCTTAAGTGTAAGATTTTCCACAGAGAAATAAGTAGTTAACTATCTATGTTTTGGACTGTGTACAATTCTGAAGTGCTGCCTATTGTGTTATAGGGTAGTGCTCTTGCCTGCTAGAATATGGTAGTCTGTGCAGATGAACTAAATCATAATCCATGTTGAGAAGTCCTTCACATATCAGAATCGGAGTGAAATTCTGTGTAGCGGGATGAGTAAAGTCTATTTGTGCATCTTGCATTGATGATAAAAGCTTACCTCAAATGCTGAACTCATTTACACCAGTAGTCCTTTCCCTCCCATAACAAAGTCCTCTATGATCCACTAGACTGAAAGCTTTTACAGAAATATATAAGGCACGGGGAAGGTAATGCATGTTATAGATGCATCTAAAGTAAATAATAGAAATTGTCGTGTGTTCCCAGATTACCTCCTTTGAATCTCTCCTCTCGTGTGTTTTTTAATTGGGTCGCAATCAGTAATTCTTTCTTGGTCAGCAACTGTCTGTTTATCTGTTCTTTTATAGGGAAATCTGGGCTCGGTTTTTAGCTTTTGAAAGTAACATTGGTGATCTAGCTAGTATACTGAAAGTTGAAAAACGGAGGTTTACAGCATTCAAGGAAGAATATGAGGGTAAAGAAACAGCTCTGCTGGTGGACAGGTACAAGTTCATGGATTTGTACCCCTGCTCTGCTAGTGAACTGAAGGCCCTTGGTTATAAGGTAAGTCGATAAGAACACTTAGTTTTACTGTTGTTCTTTTCAGTCCTAGCAAACTTAAGCAATTCCTTGTTTAGGACTTGCCTTACACTTTTTTCCCTTGATAGCAAAGCAGGTAGAACAGGCCTGGTATGCCTCCTCCTTGTTCTCTTGTTGGGCGGCAAAGTGCCGGGCGTTGCGGGCCAAGGGCAGAAAGCAGCCAGGAACATGCCTAACAGCTGCAACTTCATCCATTCATATTTACCGCTCATCTTCCCATGGAAAGGTCGATGTGCTAATGCCATCACCACTCAGCTACAGGCCTCCACTTCAGACTTAAACCTGAGCTCCTTCAAAAACCAAAATTATTTCGGAAGCTTGTAGAATCAGGCCAGCTGTATGGAACATGGCTCTTCTTTCCACTCCAGTTGGCAAAACTCTGCTCACTTCACTGAGAACCACATCAAACCGGACATACTGCAGTCCCAGTGCACGCTGCAAATGGCTGCGGAAAATGATGGATAGAGATCGGTGGCTGCCTGCTTTTTTTCAGTTGTTCATTATGGCTAAAGTGCTTTGGTGCTGCTATTTGGAACTTAAAGTCTAGGCCAGACACCTGGATCTGGTGGTCTCACATCCTGTTTCTGACCACATGTATTTTAACTACTATTTTAGTCATGTGGAAGGCCACAACACCTTGGAAAACCATTAGAACAGAAGAAAATGCTGATTTTATTTTTTTAAATTTTTTTTTAAAGCATGATGTAAAATAGGCTGCCAGAGAAGCAGAAACAGCTCTGTTGGAGGAACTGCAGTTTCCCATTTGCATGAACAGGAAGAGAGCTTTCAATTCACGTCTCAAAAATAGTCCCTGCGCTTCCATTTCTTACACAGAAAAGTAACTTTTTGAAAAATACAGAAGTCATCAAAGTTAGCAAAGCGGCTGAATTGTTGGTCTTTACACAGTTGTAAAATAATCCGATAGGTGGAAATAGGAGTCACATTGAGCCACTGAATACTTTTCTTTTAACACCATTGGGGCAAAGATATTTTTTGAAGTTACGGGTATGTTTACAAGAGAGTACGTCTTGATAAACACATGTGAGGTGGTGCGTACCTAAGATGATTCAGCCCATGGGCTGATTTCTGTTGCTTGTAACATGCCAAAATATAATCCTGTTTGAACTGATGCTTTGCATGCCTGCTGACTGCCTTATGCTTTCTTTCTTTTCCAGCTAAAGCAATCTAGGGAATGAAATGAGGGAGAAATGATAGTTGTGAAGGCCTAGTGGTCTGCACCTGTTCGCTGAAATCTTTTTAACCTAAAAAAAGGAGACACTCAAAAATGACAAACAGGGTCTCATTTGGTAACAAAAACAAGTGTTTCCACTCCCAGCTGTGACACTGTAGGACTAAAACGTTTGATGAAAACATGCAAGTTTTGCCCAGATGGTCTCCTAAGAGGACATCTGAAATCATAATGATGACAAAGTGAGAATAAGCGACTGGTCTAGAGAGCTGTTTTGTTCCGCAATTTAAACAAGCAATGCGATCCTGGCAAGTTCAGTGCTCTCTAATTGGCTTTTGCAGGATGTCTCCCGTGCCAAGCTGGCAGCCATAATTCCCGACCCCGTGGTTGCACCTTCCATCGTGCCTGTTCTCAAAGATGAAGTAGACAGAAAACCTGAATATCCAAAACCGGACACTCAACAAATGATTCCATTTCAGCCAAGACACTTAGCACGTAAGTCAGACGTTCAGGCGGAAGCGGTTGTATTTCACCTGGCGGTGAGTTATTAATCTGCGTGTTTAGCAAACCTAATTGCAGAGACTTCCCAGGTCTTCAGTCATCTAAACATATACTTAAATTTTAGGCTGCTATTTAATTGGATTGCCAAAGGCATGTATATTTTACTTAATGCTATGATCACATGGAAGTAAATACAAGTAGTTTGGGGTCTGGTAAATGGTAATAAGCTGTTATACACACTGCTCATAGACTTCAGATCACTGACTAAACAATATGTAATTAGTAGAGGCAAAAGTGACAGGGTAGTAATTATTTGCATCAAATAATAATGCTGCAAAAGCAATTCAAGTCTAGCTGTCTTGCACTGCCTTCACACAGTTTTTCTTCCCACAGCTCCAGGTTTACATCCAGTTCCAGGTGGTGTATTTCCTGTTCCACCAGCAGCTGTAGTTCTCATGAAGCTCCTGCCACCTCCTGTTTGTTTTCAGGTTTGTTTTAGTGAATTCTGAAAACTTCAAAAACTCATAGAAAAGATTCTGTTTTGACAGAACCACAGTATGTATCACTCTATTGAAAATGATCTTCTAAACTTTTTTTTTTTTTGGTAACAAATCAGGGTCCCTTTGTTCAAGTGGATGAACTCATGGAGATATTTAGAAGATGCAAACTGCCAGACAGTAAGTTATTTGTTCGCTCTGGAGTCTGTGATAGTGCTGCATATGACTTTGTTTTACATAGGGATATTGCTGTCTAAAATCCAGACCTCATTTACAGAGGTGTAATTTTATTTAAGGGTATAATACTGTTGAATTGGCTAAGTTTGTAGGTTGGAATCTACATAGAAATGTTTGTACATTTAACTGTGGGGAGATCATCAAGAAGTCAAAAAGCTGAAAATCACCAGCTGCTACTTTAATAACATTTAGGTGGTAACCATTGAAAGAAAGAAATGAAGATTTTCAGAATATCCTTTAAAAAACACAAGGCATTATTTCTAGCAGCATTGAAACTAACATTAAATTACAAATCTGCAGTACAGTAAGTTCATCGGTAGGCATAATGCTGAATGCACGTTGTTGCAGTGCTTGAGAACAATGCAGGAGCAGTGATTTCTGAGCTCCTACACGTGGTGGAGTTCTGAAATATAAAACAGGTCCATACTCCGGGAAATATGGACAGGTCCATACTCCAGGCTTCCCGTAAGCTACAGCAGATGATAACGTGTTACTTTTCATCCCCTCTGTTAGTTTAAGGAGCAAATGATAAGAAAGCAAGCAAGCTAGAGTTTAATTTCTTTTAGAGTGAAAGTAAAACATCTATTTAAATTATACATGGCATTTTTTAAGCTTTCTCTGTTGATAAGCAGAAACTGACTTGCTATGCATTCTTTCTGATGAATCATGAACTAGTTATACTGTTTCCCCAACAGGCTTTCCTGTTTTATTAAGCTTGCAAATGACCTCAATACTTCTGTAAAGGGAGGTCTCAAGCTGAAGCAGCAGCATTTACTTTATAATTAGTGTTTGCCATAGTCTCAACTGTCTAAAACTCTGAGCTTAATTCTTCACAGTTGTAGGAGAATAGGATAGGAAAACGTCTCATGTTCCAGAAATCCCCACAATGTACCTATCTTGGTGTCCCTGTTTGCATGCTTATTTCTAATCAGGGAATTCAGTTTCACAAATTAAATTAATCTTTTTCTCTTTCTAAAGCCGTTGATGAAGCTGTGCGAATAATTACTGGAGGCCTACCTGAAATAGCTGTGGAAGGCAATGGACCTGTGGAAAATAACGCTATGCTCAATAAGGCTGTTAAGAGACCACATGAAGATTCTGACGACGATGAGGAGAAAGGATCTGTAGTTCCCCCTGTACATGACATTTACAGAGCACGACAGCAAAAGAGAATCCGGTGAAACAAGTTTGGAGTTCTACTGTGATAGACAAAGACTTGCATTGAGTCCATCAGTCTCTTAAAAGTCAAGCATTTAAAAGGGACAGCTGCAACAACAACAAAAAAATCAATCTTGAAAATGATTTTGTTACTGTGGTGCCTCTTCTCCCATATGGTTCTTGACCCGAAAACAGCCAGAACAACCTTAGAATGTGCTCTGAACAAAACTAGGTTTTCAAAACCAAAAGTGAAAAATGTCAAAACAGCATTTTTTCTTCAAGGGTGTCCACATCTACCACTTGAAATCTTGTGGGTTTTCAACAGTTTTATTTTAAAAACTGGATGGCTTATACTTGTGAAGCATTTTTAATTCACATTTTCTGGAAAACAGTTGTTCTCAGTTTGTTCATGTAGGTGTCCTGCCTTATTGTTCGTTTTTATTTATGGCAGAATGTATGGAATCTGTTTTGTAGTTGAAAATGGAAAAAAACATTCCTTTAAAATAAAAGGATATCCATAACATCATGCCTCATTCTGGTTTTATTCAAACACAAGTTACTGTTTGATATTACTCAGCCACTTCAAAAGCGATGTTAATAAGACCATCACAGGAAATTGATCAGAGCATACATATTAGAATTAGCTTTTTTCCATTTTTCTAGAGGATACAGTATACTTTTGCTTTTAATTCCATGACTGTTTAAAGAAGACAGCATTGTAAGACAAACTCGGATATTTCTAATGTGGATTGTCCAGGAGTACTAGCTAACACAATCTGTTCCGGATAACTGCATTGGTCTTCCACTTTTAGTGTACAAAGCTAAATGTTAATATATTAGCTACATAGTTTAACCTGTTATTTTCAGACAAGCTAACAAAAACACTGTATGAACTTTGGAAGCAGTTTCTATGCATACTTTGGATTTTAACTTGTAATTGACTCTTCAGAATTGCACTCTGATAAGACCATAAGAACCTCCATGGACTGCAGGAAATTCAGATGCTCAAACAAACTGAAAGACATTCCCACCACGAGCCTTAGAGATGACTGTAGGTCAGTGCTCCTACCGACCAGACTACAAGGTGAAACAGCGTATGTGTAACCATATAAATGTTCATATGGAGGTAGGGTTTGGCCTTAACCATCCTAGAATTTCTTTTTTGCTTTGCCACCTAATCATGTCTCCCTCTGTCTTTTAAAGAGGATGTAGAGAAACTATTTCTCATTAAAAAAACAACCTGGGAAAATCACTGACATGATCTGCCCATGTGGGCATTTATTACAGTCTCTTTCAGTCTTTACTGTTGAAAGGCCTACACCACCCGCCCACGGCGGGGCACTCGTTCCCACGGTGTGTACCCCCCAAAGGTGAGACCGCAGCCAGAGGTGGGTACTGCACTGTTTTCTATGTGAAGCCTTAGGATCAAACCCCCACTGCAAAGAGAGAGGGGACTTACTGTATTCCTCCTCC